CAATCCCAATTTTAAATACCTCGCCTGTTAGAGACATCAAATAATTCCATTATTTTATACATACTCTTGTGCTTTGCAGTAGAACCCACATTTGGCCTACTTAAGTCCCAGGAGCATCAGACTGCAGCTACAGATTCTCTGCAGATGCCCAGTGGTTCCTAGATTTGAATTAACAGTACTATGAGACACTAGAGTTTTAAATTTTCCACTTATTTTTTTCTAAAATAAAAGGGAAATTCAATAATATAGTCGAGTGGTCCATAACCATTTACCCAAACTCCATAAATAGAATTATTGTTGGTTGACAGGTCATTACCATATGTAATAGCTTGAAAAGTTTGATCAAAAGCATAAATTCTTATGAAAACATAAGAATGTGGTAGAGAAAGGATGCTGCATTCAAACTCTTTTGAGTATAATCCACAGCAAGAAATGTATTTATTACTATTATATGTATATTATTAAATGTATTTATTGAGTGCCTGGTACACACACACACTGAAACAAAAGTCTCCTGAAACAATACTTACTTTTACTTTGTATGATGTACTCTGATTTCTTTAATTCTGTTTTCTTCAAGACTTACTAAATTGATTTCAAGATCCACTAATGTGTTGTGACTTATAGTTTGACAAGTACTAGTTTAGGAGCATTACTGTAAGAACAGGCTGCAGAAATCTGAATGCATAAAAGATGAAGACTGGTTGTACTTTTTGAAAGACACAGAAAGTAATTATGACTGTAAAACTTTAAAAAATGCTATGATGATGGATGTGTCAGTTCCAGACGTTTCAGAAGCAGACGCCAAGACAAGACGAGACAAGCAAGAGATTTACTGGAGAAGATGAGTGTGACAGAAAATGAAGCGAGACCTGGAGAAGGCAAGGAGAGCTGTCCCATCTCCATGCAGGTCTGACCCCGTGAGAGAGGAGAGGCAGCAAGGTCTGGGCAGGGAGAGTCTCCGACTGTGGCACAGGTCTAGCAAAGTCTCTACCAGGCCCACAGGGAGCCCTCAAGCCAAAGTGTCCTGTCTCTGGGCCTGCTGCACGCAGACATTGGCTGGAGACAGCCCATGGGAAGCATGGTGCAGTGCACTGGATGTCTGTGTGCCCTCAAATTTCACATGTTGAAATCCTAACCCCCAATATGATGGTATTAGGAGGTGAGGCCTTTGGGAGTAATTAGGTCATGAAGGTAGAAGTCTCATGTATCCCATCAGTGCTCTTAGAGAAAAAAGGGACCCCAGAGAACTCTCTCTCTTTCTGCCTTGTGAGGATACCATAAGAAGTCAGCAGTCTGTAACCTAGAAGAGGGTCCCCACCAGAACCTGACCATGTTGGCACCCTAATATTAGACTTCCAGCCTCTAGAACCATGAGACATACATTGCTGTCATTTATAAGCCACCGGGTCTTTGATACTTTGTTATAGCAACCCAACAGACCAAGACACGCGGCCTCAGTGCAAACCTGGTGGTGGACGGCCATGGGGCTGCTCCTAAATTGCACTCCCTGCAGGAGGAGGTCTGAGTGCCACATCTGCACGGTGTCTTCCAGGCTGGAAGACAGAGCCACACTTGTCAACTCCATGAGAGAACTGAACATAGCAGCAAACACTGAAAAGGGCAGAACTGATATAGTGGAATGAGGAATGAATGTTACTGGGGATACATTTGCCCAAATCATGGCAAAAATCACATACACAGTGAATCAAATGCCAGAGATGGTATGGTGGGCCTGGGACATGGGTCCGCTACTATGACATCGGTGCAAAAGAAGAGAAATGGCTAATGATGCCAAGACATGACCAAAGAGAAAATGAGCCTGGACTGAAAATATATTGATATAAACATCAATAAATATCGAGTCCCATTTGAGCAAAACCTCATATTCATGTTTGTTTTTCAACTCTATAGACTAATATAGGTCCTTATAAGTAGCCAGGAAGAAATGAGAGAAGGTAGGCCTGCTTCTAAGATCCTAGAGTAACTTGGAGAAAATCGACCACAACCAAAGAATGAAGTTAATCAAATACAGTCTCTGTCCTGACTTATCTTTTTGAAGGCAGAACGAAAAGGTTTGAAGATCCAGAAAAACTTAAAAAAAGAAAAAAAATATTAACCGTATCCCGTATTTGTAAAATTCATTATATGGAAGGGTGGAAGTCTAAGCTCAAATGAGAGACATTAAAATACAGATAAAGTAAAACATTTAATAAGAATTAGGTAATGATCAAAATAAAGTAAAACAAATTAGGAAAACAGAGTGAGAATAGCAAAGTATAAATACAGAATTTCATTAAGCATTTTAGATCACCAAACTGTAACCAAAAAAGCCCAGCAGGGTGGGAGGACAAATCACAGAGCCACAAAAGAGAATGGGAAAATAGTAAAAATATATTCTATATCTCAAAAGATCTAGCAATTTATTTAATAATGCAAGATGTTTTAAAAACAACCCATACTCCCTTCACTCTAACAAATTATCTGTTTTTCCACTTATTTTCTTGTCCATAGTAACATCTGTTCTTGAATAAGACTCTTAAAATTTACACATGATGTAGCATATTTAAATGTGCATACTCTTTGACTGAGGAATTCTTGTTTAAGTAATTTATCTCTCGGACAAACCAGAAATTATCTCAAACAGGTAAGAATGTCAAATATGTTTCTAAAGGTAACAGGAGTGAACTCTTACTATTGGATGCTAAGTCACCCCCTTTGCAGCCTGGCTCGCTTTGGGGGTGCCCATTCTGTGTCTACACCTCTATTGTACCACTCAGCAATCTAAGGTTTCCTTACTTGATGACTCCTCTGCTAGACTGTACCCACTCCTTGAAGACGGTATTTTCTTTGTTCCCTAGCACTTAGCACCATGACTACTACAGAGAGGCATGCAACGTGTGTTGAATTAATCAAAGCAAAATATAAACTGTACAGTTCTGTGTTTAAAAGAGAAAAACTGATCAATAAAGCTCGATAGGACTTCCTCAAATTGAGTTAAAATATTAGAAAAATTCAGCATCTAATAAATAAGAAATGTTACAGTGAAGAAAAAATCACTAATAAATATTATTGGAAAGTTGAATATTAGTAAAGAAAAAATAGATTTATAGCTCATCTTACGTGTTGTAACAAATTCCAAATGAATGAAAGACTAGCATTTTTTTAAACCCTCATTTTTAAAACTAAAAAAGAATGATAAATAGTTTAACCCAGGAATGGTAAGGGCTTGTATAACTATTGAATAGCATCAGAAACAAGGTAGACATGTGCAAATAAATAAAAATTTAAAACATTTTCCTAATGTATAATAACATAAATACCAAAAGCAAGCAACAAACTAGAAAAAAAGAATGACCAAACCTTGCTATGGGATATATATACATATATATATATATAAAATTATACAAATGCTCAGTTTCTATTTGGTAGATGGTTAAAACTAAAAGAACAGCAATAAATTATTTTACACACAAAAAAAGCACAGACTCCACAGTCATGAAAGATTTGAAAGTCAATAAAACATCTTTAAGCTTTTATATACCTTTAAATGATCAAAAATATTAAAGTAATAAAACCCAATACAGAAAGGTATGCTTACTGCTGCTGGTAATATAAAATGTCTTAACCATTTTAGAGAAAAACCTGGCAGAGCAGTAAACTGTTTGTGCCTTCCAAGTAAATACATTCTGGGTAATAAGCCATAAGGGAATAGCCCAAATGAACTAGGTGATTTGTATAAAGATATTTAATGCAGAAATATTATAAAACAGAAAAACTGAAACCACACAAAGGTACACAAAAAGAATGGTTAAGCAGCCGGGCGCGGCGGCTCACGCCTGTAATCCTAGCACTCTGGGAGGCTGAGGCGGGCGGATTGCTCAAGGTCAGGAGTTCGAAACCACCCTGAGCAAGAGCGAGACCCTGTCTCTACTATAAATAGAAAGAAATTAATTGGCCAACTAATATATAGAGAAAAAATTAGCCGGGCATGGTGGCGCATGCCTGTAGTCCCAGCTACTCGGGAGGCTGAGGCAGGAGGACTGCTTGAGCCCAGGAGTTTGAGGCTGCTGTGAGCTAGGCTGACGCCATGGCACTCACTCTAGCCTGGGCAATAAAGCGAGACTCTGTCTCAAAAAAAAAAAAAAAAAAAAATGGTTACGCAAATGAGTATGTTACATAACAGAATAACCAGAGCTGTTATTCAAAGTGGCAAGTGAAATACGTAAGCAGAATAACAGAAGAAAGCACACAGGGAATGTAGAACACACAAAATGTATAAGTAACTAAGCTCACTGACAAAGCTGATCTTTGAAAATGTGGGCAATGTAGAGAGAGATACATCATGTGCTGGGTTCTTTTCCGATCGTGTTTAACAACAAAAGTTCTGGCTATGACCATGGTGTGTATCTTGGGCCTGTTGTGAAACTGCTTAGAGGAGAGTTTGGGTTAAGAATGGAAGCTTTCCATCCTGTGATCCCAAACTTTCCTGTGATGAGTGAGATTCCTTCTTAAATTTTAATTATGGTAGTGTTGCAATTGTCATCCTAAGGTGACAACGATCTTCCCACAAACAGAGTCACCATACACCCCCCACCGCAGCAGCCTGGACCACAAACCGTTGCTGCAAAACAAGCAGTGAAAGGGCGAGGAGACACCGGATCCCCACTTGGCCCCCAACCCAAGGCAGCCACGTGGCCCTTGTCTGGCAGCAGGACTCCTTCTTGGTTGACAGCAGGATTTCACTGAGAGACCAAGTCATTTAATCCCAAGCAGGGGAGAGTTTTTAAAATATCAGCTGAGACTCTGAGATGCCTTCCATACTTACTTGGTGCTCTCAAAGGAGACATCACGGGTGTTTGGGATAGATTCCCACCTGAGCCTAATTATGACAGAAAAAGGAACACTTTCTCAAGGTACCAAAGTCAAATGGAGCATCTTAAGGATGTGGATACACAATCATGAAGGAGGATTTAATGCGATCTTGAGTGTGTGCTTACTTTCCACAGCACATGTGGTGCTTATCGGGCATGCCCAAGCCCAGCACAAGGATACAGTACTTCTGCGCCAAGTATTTCTGTGCTGCTTCTAGTTTATTTAAGACCATTTCCATCTCTTTTTTCTCTACGAGGCCCCTAGGTGCAAAAAAAAGAGAGACAATTTGGATTAATTCTGGCAAATGCCTATGTTAATTAGCAAAAAGTCACATTCATAAACTGTTTTGAATGAAATACAAATGAGTCAACAGGCTTCACTGACCAATGAATTTATTTTATTTAAGCTGTGGCCTAGGGAAATCTGCATAGTCCCTTGATATTCAATCACCGGAATCAGCATCTCTAGTTTACAGTGAATTTTCGCTTTTTTATGGATTCTTTATACTTTATGCTATGTACCCTCAATTTTACATACAGGCAGCCCTAATTTATACAGAACCGTTCAACTAATTACCTATACCCACTTTCCTGCTGTTCTCCTAAAACCACCGTGGAGACTATGCCACCTCAGCTTCCCCTAGGTTCCCTGTGCTACTAAGCTCGGGGCTCAATGTTTGAACATAGGCCTACTTTCAGTTCTAAGTTTAGCTGTGTTCGCTAAGGAGGCATTTGTAGACTACTACTTTGGGAAGTTTGGCATCAATTACAATAATATTGCTTCCCTGTGAAAACACGGCTCCAGTTCCAATTGAATTGCAAATGAACCCTTTCTCAGGTTACAGCATGCCTGAAGCCTAATTTTAAGTTTCTGCAGTATAATGTAGTAGGAAACAATACTGCTGATGGTACATTCCACTGTACTGCTATTGGAAAGTGAAGTGTCACTAGACACCCCATAAAATGCACTCTGAACAGGGACAAATGACAGCCTGTTCTAATGCTAACTACCAGTCTAACTCCGTGAAGATATGTGGAGGGGGTGTGTTTAAGGATGTTATAGATGTTTCAGAGCATAAAATGCTATCACATGTGCTGAAAAGGCTTGAGTCACTGGAATAAAATGGGTTTCTGGAATAACTAAAGTGGGCTCCAGCGTTAAGTGCCCAAAGGCCATATAATCCAAACACTCACTTCCACGGACACCCCAGGGACACTCCCTGTGCCTGTCTCCCTGTTTCCTCCAGCAGCCCCACCCTCACCCATCACCCTACTTTGACAGAGCCGCCAATACCTACAAGTCTTCTTTTGCTGTGGAAAACAAACCAAACTAAACCAAACTGAAGCAAACTACAACAATCAGGAAATGCCTTGCAGCTTTCAGGCCAATGGGTCTCAAGTTTTAACAAATGTAAGAATTATGAAAGAATCGCCTGGAACGCTTCCTAAAAGTCTGGATCCCCAAGGCAACCCCCTCTCCAAGATTCCGGTTCAGTAGGTCTGGATAGAGCACAGGAAATTTAAAACAATCTCCCCCAAGTAATTCTGAGGCTGGTGGTTCCTGGACCAAATTTGGAAATATACACAGAGAACCTATGTGTTGAAATGGAAAAAAACTATGGAAAAAAACTGTCAAGGGAAACTAACCTATATACAAAATTCCAGGCAGAGCTTCCTTTGAATTAACAAACATATTCTTTAAAAATGTAAATGATAATGCTGACAAAGTTTTGTTGAAACTAATGTAGTTACACATTGTGGAAAATTGACATAATCCTTTGAAAAAAATATTTGGAAAAAATTTCAAGAGCCATAGAAATTATCGTAAATTTTGATCTAATAATATCTCTTCTGGAAATGTATTATTTTTTAAAAAACCATCCAAAATGAGGGAGAAATTTTTATGCACAAAGATATTCAATGCAATTATTATGTATCTATCAGAAAAATCAGAAACTGCCAAAATATATAAAATAGAGGTATAAAAGGAGTAGTAATATAGTCAGGTACTATTTAAGGACTTGACATTTGTTAGCCTAACATATGAATGAGTCCCTGTGGGATTTAACCCAGACATGAAAATCTGTACCCTTGACCACTATAATATACTGCCTCTTAATAGGTAAGTCAATTCATAAACACTAGCCTGATAGAAAGTTATGCCCCATTAAAAATTATAATTATGAAGATTGTAGTAACTTGGAAAATGCTTATAAGATGTTTAAAAGTACACACGTAATTGTTCAGAAGCTATAAATTCTAATTATGAATGGATAAACTCCAAAAAAGAGAATGCAGTTGGCCTGGAGGGATGGCTCACGCCTGTAATCCTAGCACTCTGGGAGGCCGAAGAGGGAGAATTGCTGGAGCTCAAGAGTTCAAGTCGAGCCTGAGCAAGAGTGAGACCCTGTCTCTACTAAAAATAGAAAATTGGCTGGGTGTGGTGGCACTCACCTGTAGTCCCAGCTACAATGAAGGCTGAGGCAGGAGGATCTCAACTGAATGAGACTCTGTCTCCAAAAAAAAAAAAAGAAAAAGACAAAAAGAGTGCAGTTGATTGGTAGGAAGTGCAGGGCATGTTGCCCAGTAGTTAAGGCACCAGCTTTGGAGTTAAAAAGAACCACATTCTAACATCAGCTCTACCACTTACTAGGTATGTAATCTCCAACAAACTATTAACCTCTGAGTCTTAAATTCTTTGTCTGTAAAATGGGGATAGGCCACTTCTCTGGAATTATGGCTTTTAATCATCTAAAGTCCTTTAGAGGATAACATCCTTCTCCATCCTTTTTTGCTCTCCTCTCCCAGGCTGCAGGCTGTCCTCCCCAGTGCCAAGTACTGGGTTAAGATAATATAAATGGTCCCATTTAATTCTGTACAATAACTCTGTGAATTAGATAGTATTATTTTTTCTATGCTACACCTTACTATTTTACTAAAATCAATTTTTTTCTTTGGTGTAGATATCTCAATGCAATCTATATTTAATTCGATTATAATAAGTAAACAAACTATTAGATGCCTGAAAGTGAAAAGATATTATGATTTTTCAGAGTCACCCTATAAAATCAATCATTTTTAGGTTTAGATTGGTTCTTTTTGTCATTCTGTAACTGATCCCTTCTAAGGAACAAGTCTGCCTTATACCACTGTGTCTTGTTCAGTGCATCTTTAAAATAACTAAGAAATCTTTCTTCTGTGTTATTTATTCCTATAAATTAAGAAATGAAACAAATCCCATTGCTAGATTAGCAATAAACCTCAGAATTAGAAAACACCATATAAACTGTAACAGGTTAAAGTGCCACCAAAGTCTGACTAGTTTCTATTTGAGACTAGTAAGAATCCTCAAACCTTCTAAGCCCACAGCTGGCATTAAGCCCATCTGCTTGCTACCATAGAAACACTACGCTCTGGCTGCTCTGCTGTGAAATGCAGCCCCAAAATAACACTGACGCGTATTATGATGGCTTTACAGGAGCAGCAGTGTTTAAACTGTTTATTTGGTTCTTTAGAAAACTGGTGACATGTATACATTTATCTATCCACGAAATGTTTTTCCAACTGCTTGACTGTATACAAGGGTTCTGCATTTTGAAAATATTCTGCAGCAACAAGTTAATGACTCCACCCAGCATTCCTAACAGCTAAATCACTGGGTTGGTTCCACATGAACTGGGGAGGGCAGCCCGGGCACTTGGAAAGTTCCTTCCATGGCTTGCAAAAGGTCACCAAGCCTGAGAGGCATTGTTCTCCTCTGGACTCTGAGTTCCCTGATTCCTGTCCTGGTGTACATCGCTGAGCCACCTCTGCCTAAAGCACTTAAATTATTTCCAAGTAACCTAAGAAACCTTGGTTTTTTTCCTGTAATGTGGAAAGTCATTTTGGCCAAATCTGTTAATTGTTTAAATTCTTAGAATTTTTAAAATTAGATGCTTACAGCCCTTTAGCGAGAACTTTGTAAGCATAAAAAGCATACAGACAACATCTATATCTGCTCAATATGGTAGCCACTAGCTACATGTGGCTATTGACTAATATGGCTAGTCTGAATTGAGATATGTTAGAAGCATAAGATAAATTCCAGATTTCAAAGACTTACTAAAAAGAAGTAAAATATTTCATTAATAACTTCCTGACTACATGTTGCAATGATAATATTTTTGAGTCATTGGGTTAAATAACATACACTACTAAAGTTAGTTTTAAGCAAGACTCTGTCTCTACAAAAAATAGAAGAGTTAGCTGGGCGTGGTGGCACACACCTGTAGTCCCAGCTACCCAAGGGGCTGAGGCAGGAGGATTGCTTGAGCCCAGGAGTTTGAGGCTGCAGTGAGCTATGATCAAGCCACTGCACTCTAGCCCAGACAATAGAGCAAGACCCTGTTTTGATATTTTTTTGTAATATGGTTACTAGAAAATTTTAAATTATATTTTTGACTTTCATTATATCTCATTATTGGGCAATGATAGTCTATATTAAATTTTTTTAGGTCTTATTATGTTGCCAAGGCTGGTATCAAACTCCTGGCCTCCTGCCCCAGCCTCCCAAGTACTGAGATTATAGGTACCTGTTAAATATTTTGTTACTGGAAGATCCACATGAATTATTCAGTGAGCTTAAAAACCTGCCAAACTCCTTCTTCCATGTGAAATGTCTTAGTATACCCCAAAGAGTAAAAAATTTCCGTAATTAAAACTAAGCATTAGCCAAGCATGGTGGTGCACACCTATAGTCCTAGCTACTCAGGAGGCTGAGGCAGCAAGATGGCTTGAGCCCAGGAGTTTCAGGTTGCAGTGAGCTATGATGACACCACTGCATTCCAGCCAGGGTGACAGAGTGAGACCCTGTCTTAAAAAACAAAACAAAACAAAAAACCTAGTCAAAAGTTAATTTTAATACTAGCAGTGATAAAACTCTAGAGCATACCACAAAATCTTACTTACACCATATAGCTTTTCGGTTTCTTTTCCAGTGAGTTTTTTTCCAAGTAATGAGATAAATAGTACAATAATGCCATGAGGAAATTATCAAGATGCTTATTCCTATAGAGAGATTGGGAAAAAAAAAATCAATGCTCATTAAGTCATTGTTTTCTTTCTAAATATTCTTACAGGACTTTTGCTGCCTACTTTGTAGACCCAAATGGAAATTCTTACTCTGGCATTCTTTAACTATACCTTTACAGCAGGATGAAGGAGACCATTACAGATCTTTTTTTCAAGCTATTAATAACTACCAGTCCCAGGTTGGGTTCCCCAGAAACAGACAGACCCTGAGACAAAGATTTGAGAGTACGTAGTTTATTTGGGACGAGATCTCAGGAAACATCAGTAGGAATGTGGGGAGATGCGACAGGAAAGTAAAAAAGCCAACACAGGGAGTGATAACAAGTAAATGTAGTCAGCCCTTGCAGGGACTCTGGGAGACAGTGCAGGAAACGTTGAGTTAGCTACCCACTCCCCTCTGGCACAGCGCTGCCTGAGGGCTGCTTCCAGGGGCATGGAAGCCCCAGTGCTTGTCCTGTGGTGGAATAAGGCCCTCAGGCCAAGAATCTCAGATGTTTGCCAGAAGCAGCCTGCGTGTGAATGCTGAGGGGTTGGGTAGGGGTGCCAGTAGCATCGGGCACCCAACTCCCACTGAGCACTCACAGAGCAGATGCCATGCGAAGTACAGCCACACTGGGCCGTATAAAGGAGACAGGATTATTTCGCAGTTCTGTAGCAGAGGAAACGGATGCTTAGAAAGGTCAAGAAACTCACCCAGAGTCAACACACCTAGCACGTGTTGGGGCTGCCAAACATGACTAGTGTCATGAAGCTGATCTTCACTAAATGTGTATGTCCTTTCTTTTCTTTTCTTTTTTCGAGACAGAGTCTCACTTTGTTGCCTAGGCTAGAGTGAGTGCCGTGGCATCAGCCTCGCTCACAGCAACCTCAAACTCCTGGGCTCAAGCAATCCTCCTGCCTCAGCCTCCCGAGTAGCTGGGACTACAGGCATGTGCCACCATGCCCGGCTAATTTTTTGTATATATATTTTTAGTTGACCAATTAATTTCTTTCTATTTTTAGTAGAGACAGGGTCTTGCTCACGCTAGTTTAGAACTCCTGACCTCAAGCAATCAGCCCGTCTCGGCCTCCCAGAGTGCTAGGATTACAGGCGTGAGCCACCACGCCCGGCCTGTCCTTTAATCATTATATAAACACAGTGCAGGTGTGTGGGGCTCTGACAGCATGCATGCTCTCCACGCCCCTTAGGTGGGGCTCCCGTGACTTCTGGCCTCCACTCCCAGACACTGAGACCAGAGGGTGAAGCCTTGCATACAGCCTCACAACTCTTTCTCTAAAAATCAGATTTGTCATCACTTATCAATGGAATTACTACAAAGGATAAAAGATTTAAAATGTCTCACCAGCATTACATACCTCATAAATGTTGTAAAAGAACAGATCCGCTGCATATCAGTATCTTGTAGCAAAAGCAAAGCAACGACTAAAAGGAGAGAAGATGGACAATTGGAAGAGGGATGAAGAACTGCCTTAGAGGGACACACAAGATAACAGCACGTGGCTGAGGAAACGGTTACTCACACTTAGCATCATCTAGTGTAACGTTGCCAAGCAGACCTCGTTTTTCTAGAGATTTAGTTGACCTATCATCTCTTGAAGCAAGCCTTTTATCTGTCAACCTGTTTTGGAATAGAACAGTTTCTAATAGTGTTTTAAAAGGTTTTAGTTGTATTTAATCTATCCTGAGGTACATGAAGCATTTTCTATAAAGTAATGAGAGCCTGAGTGTCATGCATGCGTTTTGTTTAACGTAAGATCATTTTGGAATGCATTTTATTAAACATTATATTTATTTTTGCTGAGGAAGAAGGAATGTACACTACCTGATATAAAATGTAAATACAAATTCCATCCAAAATAGATCACTTAAATCATCTATTCTGGTGTAGCCATCATGTGCAGATTTTAAAAACTATAATGTGCAGATTTTAAAAACTATAAAGTCGAAAACGTGCTAACAGCCCAGTTATCACGGGGATACATTTACAGGGACCATTGTAACTCTCACCATAATTCTGAAATAGTGTATGTTCTTTCCTTGATGGGTATTTCCATTTCAACCTAGGATAATGGGAATGGTATTTTCTTGGAGTTTGTAAAGGCTTAAGCCCTCCCACTGGGAGGTACTATCAGCAACACTGGTGTGATTGACAAGTTACACTACCTCTCTGAAGCTGGACCGTCAATTTCAGCAAAGTGAACTACTTTGCCTTTCTTTCCTTTTTCCTTGAGTTCTACCGCAGGTGTAAAACTGCAATAGAAATGAGATAATTTAGGCATTTAACCTTTTCCCAGGAGAAAATGAATCATATCATGACCATAGTTCATGTAATCTTAGCACTGACATATATTATGAGCACAGACTGCAGAAAATTTGAGGCACAGCAGTGTTCAATTCATATATTTACATATGGAACAAATATCTAGAGGAAGACTCAGACTTTGGAGTTTACATTCAGCCTCTAACCATCAGCAGCCACCAGAATATCACTATACACAAAACATTTCTATCTGAAAATCTTGTAGTAACTTCACAAGGAACAGAAACCTCATGATAAGTTTGGAAGTAATGAGCACTTACTATGAGCCAAGTGCTTTTAGGCACAGTCTCATTTAATCCTCATGGCAACTCTGTGAGGAAAATATTGCTATTATCATCATTTTTACACATGAGAAAAATGGAAGCTTAGAAAGAGATTAACTTGACTAAGATCACGTGACAACTGGTGAAGCCAGCACTGCTACCCGAGTTTTCTAGCCACAGAGGCACGTGCTTAGCAACCAGGCAATCCTGGCTCCCAAGCAGCCATCTCAGTATTCACTGCTCTGGACTCTTCTAAAGGCCTCAACCATCTCCATCTCCAGAAAGGTTTCAGAGCCTTTTACTTAACTCAGGGTTTCTTAACATGTTGTGCAAGTCCTACTAAGCAGTAATGGGTCTAACAAGGAATTGCAATTAAGCAACAAACAAATATATACTGAGTCCCTACTATGTATTAGGAATTTCCATGATATTGAAAATGAGATGATATCTGACTAGAGCCAATGCACAGACTTTCGGCAAATGCTAATAGGAAAACAGAGAAAAGCATTTTGAAGACCACCAGGACGTGGTTCCTGCTTACACAGAGTACATTTTCTGGAAGAATTGTGGTGTCTGCCAAATCCATTGGTTTGGTAGCTGGTCATGAGTTATGACTTTTATTTGTCTGGCTGAAACAATGTCACATTGGTAACACAACCCTGAAGCTTAACCTCTGCCCAAACTTACATGTTTATTAAGCTGAAGTGTAGAGGTAATAATAGAAGCACTTTCCCATCAACTTTCGTCATCCTCTAAAGATGGATATCAGTCATGACAAAAGGTCTCTCTTTTTTTCTTTTTTTTTTTTTGGAGACAGGGTCTCACTCTGTTACTCGGGCCAGAGTGCAGTGGAGTAAGTCACTGCAACCTCAAACCTCAAACTCCAGGGCTAAAGTGATCCTCCTGCCTCAGCCTCCCAAGTAGCTAGGACTACAGGCATGTGCCACCACACTTGGCTAATTTTGAAATTTTTTTTGTAGAGACAGGGTTTCACTCTGTTGCTCCGGCTAGTCTTGAACTCCTGGCTTCAAGCAATCCTCCCATCTCAGTCTCCTAAAGTGCTGGGATTCCAAACACTATGTGGTGGGTACCTTCTATTGATAAACCATTTAGATAGTTTTTAACAAATACTCAAATCCCCGCAAACTTTCAGATGTTTTCCAATGGCTCTTTGAAGACCATTCTGCTTGCTGAATGTCTAACATGCAGACTATTACCTCTTGTCCTTACTATAACCATGCTAAACAAGAACTCAAGTTGTTTTCAGATTTTTCCATGGACCATCAGAGTATATGGCCACTTACAAGCCATTAGCCATTATTTTTGTGCCAGGCAAAAGGAGTCTCAGGTCTTCCCAGCTCTCCCCGGGATTTCTCTTCTCCAGAAGACATGAGAAGATAGAAACACTCAATCTAAGTTAATGTCACACTGAGTTGTGTCTCTCACCCTTTTCTCAGTCCCATCCCTGTAATTCAAAGTTTCCTGTTATACTAGTTTGCCTGAGATGTTTTAAGATGAGAAAGCCTTAAAATAAGAAATTTGAAAGGTTACATTTGGGGCTCTCTTACAGATAGGCTATATGAAGTAAGTCAAATTAACTTGGAATCATAAAATTATAAAATCATAGAATTGGGGGGCTAGAAGACGTTGAAAAGATCATCTAGTATAAAGCTGTCGTTTTACTGATGGAGAACTAAGGCTGACCCGTGTCCCAGTGGTTGAAATTGGTGGTGGACAGTGCGTTCACCGCTAAACTTCTCATCCTTATGCTCTGTCCTCCAGTCATGCCTTCTCCATTTCATGCTTGCCTGAGCAGCCCTCACTTCACTGAAGTCATTCTTTAACTCAACTAGAGATACGGGCTCCATTCTGTGAGTGCCCCGCCATAGCCCTGAAGGCAGCCTACGTCTACTTGAGGGCAGAGGGAATGGCATGAGTAGGTTGTGGTATCAGGACCTCCACCAACTGCTGTCTGTGAGAGGGCTCGATTCTAAACGGGACAATGCAGTCAGAATCACCAAGAAGCAAGACTAGTAATAGTTGAAAATGGCACTTTGAGGCCGGGCGCGGTGGCTCATGCCTGTAATCCTAGCACTCTGGGAGGCCGGGGCGGGTGGATTGCTCGAGGTCAGGAGTTCGAAACCAGCCTGAGCAAGAGCGAGACCCCATCTCTACTATAAACAAAAAGAAATTAATTGACCAACTAAAATATATATAGAGAGAAAAAATTAGCCAGGCATGGTGGCACATGCCTGTAGTCCCAGCTACTCGGGAGGCTGAGGCAGGAGGATTGCTTGAGCCCAGGAGTTTGAGGTTGCTGTGAGCGAGGCTGACGCCATGGCACAACAAAGTGAGACTCTGTCTCAAAAAACAACAAACAAACAAACAAAAAAAAGAAAATGGCACTTTGAATTGCACCACTGATTGGTGTCCAAACCCCAGTCTGAGCTAGTCTATACCCTCCTGCCATCTCCACAGTCCCCCCTCAATCTGGCCACCGTTTAGAATCGAGTCCTCTCTCAGAGAGCAGTTGGTGGATGTGCTAATACCACAACGTAATCATGCCATTCCCTTTGCCCTCAAGTAAACAAGAAAAAACCCCATGCTTTCCCTCTAGAACTCACCACTGTAAATGCAATGAAAGGGCCAGCTGCTCTTGCCCTCCACACAAGTCAGAGCTCCTCGGTGGGTGTTGGAGCCTTCCCTTAGGCCAGGATAAAAGAGAAATCTGGAGCTGCCTCAGGGGAGTCGGTGACCTTAGCAGAGACTGAGGGAGACTGCTAGTTCTCTCCCAACTTGGAGGAGGGACACTTGCAGGGACAAGACTGCAGGCACTACCTCAGAGAGAAAAGCACACCTCGAGGGCAAACCTGGATGCAACCTGGAACTAAAGGTGTTCTTTCTGTGCCAAATAAGAAAGAAGAGGGCATACATGTGATGAACTACGCCAATGCCCTCATTTACTCCTCACCAGGCATTGTGGTTCCATTTTATAGATGAGGGAACTGAGAATTCTTGAGTCTAAGTTTCTTGACAACTGACAACCACCTAGTAAGTGGCAGAGCTAGGATTTGAACCCAGGTCTCCCTCCAAATCATTCTCTACTCTCTTCCTTTACTAACTATTAAGAAATAATGGCAACCTTTCCCCTGCCCCTTACTGTGTGTCCATCTCTTGCGTGGAGGTTATAGATACCCCGTCATATTCTGATAGTTACCCCCCTCAGGGCATAATCTGCCTGTGATTCTCCTTTCAGTAGTAGCTTGGAAGGGTCGGATTCATTTTCAGTGAGAAGGGCAGCCTGGATATCCCTGCCTGTATCTCCAAACTGCTTGAGCTGTCTATATAACTCCTTCCCACCAGACTCAGAGGGAAAAGCTGTTACCAACTCTTCCAGGCCTCACCTGTGCCCTTGGTCCGAGTGCCACCCACCTTCCTCTGTCTGTTCATTGCTAACAAACTCAAGATTTTCCTACCTTTAAAACAAAGCCAACAAAAATCCCCAAAACCTCCCCTTAGTGCTGGATCCCCTAAAGGCTACTATGTGTTTTCTCCGTTCACGGTAAACTGACTGATAAGACTACTCTACTTTTGCCAGTTTCTCATCTTTGCCTCTGAGTCTCTCCTCAAACTATTGATGTGCGCCCTACTGCCCTCCTGAAACTACTTCTCACCTTGGTCCCCAGGGATCCTTAAATTGTTAAATCTATACGCCTCTTTGAAGCATGTGACATTGCTGACCACTCCTCACGCTAATGCCCGTTCTTGGAAAACCTTTTGCCTTTGAAGGCCTATGTGTTTTTCCTTTGATCTTTCTAATCATTCTTTCTCTTTTCTTTGGCTAGTTCTTTCTTTGCCCATTCCCTATTCCTGAGAGCCATGTAAAGATATCCATCAAAACTTAAAATGTGTACTCTGATTAAGAGACATATCAAGCCAATTGTAATGTATGAACCTTATTTGAATTCCTACTGAAACAGACTTTAGATCCAAGTGTGGTGGCTCACACCTGTAATCCTAGCACTCTGGGAGGCCGAGGTGGGAGGATCACTTGACTTCAGGAGTTTGAGGTTGCAATGAGATATGATGATGCCACTGTGCTCTAGTCAAGGAGACAAAGTGAGAGACCCTTTCTCAAAAAAAAAAAAAAGAAAGAAAGAAACTTTAAACATACAGACAATAGGACACATCTGAATACCAACTGAATATATGATGATACTAAGGAATTTATACTTTCCATTTATATTTTCAGGTGCATAAATAGTAATTCAGTTATGTTTTCAAAGATAGTGCTTATTTTTTTGAGATATGTACTGAAATATGTATAGATTAAATGATATGATGTCTGGGATTTGCTTCAAAATAATTGAGAGGTGGGGTATATGGGGGTGTAGATGACATTAAGTTGACCTTAATTTGGTACTTATTAATACTGTGGTATGGAAACCTTGGAGTTCATTATATCATTCTTCCTATGTTCATAAAGATTTGACATATTTTAATATAAAAAGTTTTAAATTTATTTTAAAAATTTAAATAATACTCAAAGAAAAAAACTGGCAACAAAATCAGACCTGCAAAGACTTCAGATATTGGAATTAACAGTCACAGAATATAAAATAAATGTAAACCACATGTTGAACACATACACACAAAACACTGGTGCACTGGTGGTCTTTGGGAGTAGAATTGTGGTGGAATCTCACTTTCTACTTTGTATATTTGTGTAGTTTTTCAGTACATATTTATAACTTTTTAATGAGAAAAAAGATGAAATGATGGAAATGTAGACAGTTAAAAATGTATGTGTATGTATATATATATAGAGAGAGAGAGAGACAAAGAGAGAGGTAGGAGGAGGAGAAGGAAAAAGAAGAGTAAGAGGATGAGATTTGAAAAGCTATATACCTAGATGTTAACATGTTAGTAACTACTCTTGTAAGTTTAAGGTTTTCATTTGTTTTTGCTTATTGGTATTTTTCTTCTTCTTTTTCCTTTTTTAGAGATATGGTCACACTATGTTACGCAGGCTGGTGTGCAGTGGCCATTCACAGGTGTGCTCATCACATACTATAGCTTTGAACCTCTGGCCTCAAGTGATTCCCACCACCCCAGCCCCAGCCTCACCCCAGCCCTGGCCCAGCCTCCCAAGTAGCTAGGACTATAAGTACCTGCTGATTTTTTTGAGTAGTATGATTTTTAAAAACTTATTTCATAAATTTTAAGGGTACATATTTCCTAGGGTTCTACCTGCAATCGTTTCACTTTCCACTGTAATTTTGCACTTGCCCTTCTCTGAGGGCCACACTCCTGCTTACTGGATTTTTTTTTTTTGAAAAGTTAAAAATCCCTTAATTTTTTATTCTTGGTACCATTACCACAATTTACAGGGCAATATATCTGATGTAATGAAAAGAAAAAGAAAAAGCTACAACAGATAAAAGACCTCAGAAATGCACATCTAATTGACACTACATGAATTGACATTGCATTAATCAATAGCTGCACTTTTTTTTTTTTTGGAGACAGAGTCTTGCTCTGTTGCCTGGGCTAGAGTGCCGTGGCATTAGCCTAGCTCACAGCAACCTCAAACTCCTGGGCTTAAGTGATCCTTCTGCCTTAGCCTCCCAAGTAGCTGGGACTACAGGCATGTGCCACCATGCCTGGCTAATTTTTTCTGATATATATTAGTTGGCCAATTAATTTCTTTCTATTTATAGTAGAGACGGGGTCTCGCTCTTGCTCAGGCTGGTTTTGAACTCCTGACCTTGAGCAATCCGCCCGCCTCGGCCTCCCAAGAGCTAGGATTACAGGCGTGAACCACAGCGCCCGGCCCAGGTAATTTCTTTCTATATATTTTTTAGTAGGGACAGCGTCTTGCTCTTGCTCAGGCTGGTTTCCAACTCCTGTGCTCAAAGAATCCACCCGCCTCGGCCTCTCAGAGTGCTAGGATTATAGGCGTAAGCCACCACGCCCGGCCTTTAAAACCTTTATATAAATGTAACCACATAGTGTTTACTTGTTCATAGAACAAGTAAAAGTATGGTCCAATCTTCCTTATAAGAGAAGACTGAGATGGCCTTTAAATATATGTGAAGATATGTGTATATAAATAGATAGACGAGGAAAGAAAATGTTGGCACTGAAAATTTATATCCACATTGTCTTGTGCTTTAACATGTATTTTGGATTCCTGTGATTAGCTTGTCTGTCTAATCACAAAGCTATCTCACTGTCTACCTCACACTCACCAAGTGTGATGTTTCAGAACCTACTGAACAGAATCTTGTGACATATCTGAGAAAAAAACTGAAATTACTACTTTGAAAATGACAAGTTAGAAATACTGAAATATTCTATGAAATATGAACTTTTGATTTTGACTCTAATAAAATGTTAAGCCTTTGAATTGTTTGACATTAAACATGTCATCATATTTACCTATAAATTACATCTGCTAGCCAACTTCTTTCCTGACCTCTAGCGCCATTTGTCCAACAGCCAAAGAGATGTATCCATGTGAACAAGTCATAGCAACAGCAAACACATCACTGGTTCTGCCTCTTCTGTATATAGGTGAAGGGCAATCGCAGCCACACAATCACCCAAGTCAGACACCGAGGAGAAGACCTAGACACTTACTTCTCCCTCTTCTTTCACATGCAGACCCTACATCCTATCAATTTTATCCAAACATCTTGTTAAATATTTAATATCTCTTAAATATTTCTTAGTTCTTCATCCTTCCCTCTGTTTTTACTAACATGGAGTTAATTCTGACTCACTGTTTCTCAGTGGTATAACTATCTAAGCCTCCTACAACTAGGCTCCTAGTTGGTCTCCTGCCTCTAATCTTCCTCTGCTTGAATCTATTATAGATGGTTTACTGAACGGCTCAGTAAACATTTGTTCAGCACCTACTGTGTGAAGTTCTATAGATGGCTCCAGGGACATGAAGATGAGTGGGGCAGTTCCTGTCATTGAGGTCCTTACAGTCTACTCAAGGGAGACAGTGTGTACAATGGGAAGGACTCCGGCATCAGACAAATCTTGGTTCAAACTGTCAGTTCTGCTACTTACTGGCTGCATGACTTTGGTGCAGTGGCTTGTTGTAAACAAGGCCTGAGCCTTGTTTACTCATCTATAAAGAGGATATTAATGCTCACTTTCCGCAGCCATAGAATTAGAAAAATATACAAATGTCTGGCACATAATATGGGCATAATAGATAGTGGCTAGTATTATTAGTTTAGCTATAAACATTTTTTAACAGAGTCAGTGTTTTGTCAATGGAGATTAAAATTAGTTTTTTCTAATTTAGTTATTTTACCTTGTAAGATTTCCCACCTATTGCAGCAAGTGTAATATGGTCCCCGTATTGTAAAACTGTATTTCTATAATACAAGTAGGTAAATTTATACAGTAGTTAAAAATATGGACTCTGAGTCAAACAGACGTACATTTAAATCATTCTTAGTCACCTCTGAGCTGTGTGATTGGGCTAAGTCACTTAGTTTTCTACAAATCACTTAACACTTTGAAATTTCAGTTTCTTCATCTGTAAACTGGTTAACAGGCAGCTGTTTCATAGAGATGGTAAACTGATTAGCAGTGTCTGGTCCACGGGAAGCAGCTGATAAGTGTTAATAGAAAGTAATGTCTGAAAGGCTGTTCACCAAAATGCTTATCTCCAGATGGTGGGGTTTCAGTGGTATGTCTTTTATTGTTTATACTTTCCTGTATTGCTTCAATTATTTTTTTGCCCCAAGCACAGATAATTTTTATAAAAAACTCTAATAAAATTTTGTTAAAATTTACCTTCTAAATTCAAGACTTCTGGTTTCATCTTTCCAGTACCACATCCCTAATCGTAATCCCAATTGCTGTAAAATGAAATGATTGCAGCAAAAATAATTACAAGTCCAATTTACAATCCACATGCCACAATAAACCTTTAACAGTAATTTATACTAGTTGCTCTTTAACTCAATAAAAATGTAAAATCTTAATGTGTTTAACTTGAAGTCAAGATTTTATCCTTTCTGTTTTTAGGTGTGGTTTCAATAAAAAGGAGGGGAGGAGGGGCGTAGAGAGAAAAGTAGAGAGGAAAGCAGGGAAAGAGGAAAGAAGAAAGGGAAGAGGAAGGAGAAAGGAAGGAAGGAAATTCAGGCACGTAGCCATTTACCGATTAATTGGAATTCGGACAACAGTAAGTTGACGCCTAGGGCAGCCTCCGCCTTTAGGCTGAGTGGGACTCTCCTAATCGAGGCGCCTGCTGTAACCCTGAGCCGGCCCTTCAGAGCCAGCTGGCAAAGCTTGCCCTGTTCCCCACGGCCCCCATCTCCAGGGATCCCCCCGGGCAGCACCGCTTCCCCCGCGGTGGGGCTTTTGCAACCAACCAGTGAGAATTGGTGAGGTGGGATTTCATAAATATCTGAATATCTGCGTAGGGAGCCAGAATTCAATTCTGACCGTTTGCCGAATAGACCTCTAAAGTTTTGTTTTCGTAGGTAACTACACCCGCGTCGCTTTGAGGACCGCTGGCCCGGGGCAAAGGCGACGACCCGCCTCTGGAGGAGGGCGAGGGGCGCAGCAAAGGGAAACGAAGGCGTCCCGGCCCCGCCGCGGGCCCATCCCGGGCTCCCACCCCGGCTCCCGCGGCGCCCAGGGCGGGTTGGGGGCGGCAGGGCCCGCCTTCCCCCGGCCCCCGGAGCGAGGGCGACCGAGGCAGCTCTTACATCTATCTTGGAAAGTGGCCCCTTCTCCAACCGCCTCCTCAACGAGTACGACTCGGGCACCCGGTACATGGCTTCTCCCCGGCCGCCGCCCGGCGCCCGCACTCTGCGGCCCGAGGCGCGGGGCAGGGCGGGGCCGCGGGCCGCGCGGACGGTAGCGGGACCCGGCTTCCCCTAGGATCCCGAAAGCCCCACCTGCTGCCCGGTCCCCCTCCTCACAACCTTCGCTGTGGCGGCTGATTGGCTGACTCATTGTAAAGCTGCTCAGGGCTTCTTTCTTCAGGGGATTCCAACCGTGAACGCGAAGTAAACCGGCCCACCGTTTTAATTGAAATAACTAGCTAGATTCAGCCCTGCAGGGAAGATCTATTTGTTCCAGACTTTAATGGTTAGCCCTATTAAGTTTAAATGCAGGTTGGACCGAGGTTTATCCTGGGTGTTCAGAGGAGGAAGCAGGAAAATCCAGAGGAAGAACATGGGCGCCGTAATAAGGCTTGTGAAACAGTTCTGCTTAACTAGGTGTGGAACCTTGGGCAAAACAACTCTGATCCCGCTTCTGAAAATATCCAAATCAAAGGTTATGAGGATTTTTAAGAAGTAATGTGTGCAAAGCACCAGCATTAAGTACTCAAAAATAGTGTTGCTCAAAACAAACTTGCTTTGTGTCAATGGGTATTCAATTGATATTTTTACATTTACACTTTTCAAATAATGCCTTATAATTCATTCTTGCAGCTGAGTTGATATGCAGATTCTGGTTGATATTTTTTTCCTTTCCAACATTATGAGCAATGCTAGATGATGCAATGTGGTTGGTAATGCCTAATATACTCTGCTTTTGTATCCTCACAGCTTAATTGGCATGACAGACTCAGTAGTTGGTGATTATATATTTCCATAAACCTTAAAATTATGGCAATAGACATCCCACTGCTTCTACCCTCCCCCCTTACGGTCTCACTATTTGGTAACACACGATCACTGGTTATAGTGGTATAAAATTGTAATAATCTAAATTTATGTTCTAGTCACTTGAGTCCATTCTGGTTAGCTGTTCAGGTTGGCCCAGATATGCGGAAACCCACCTACGCACTGGCAGTGCTGATTTGAGGCTGTGAACAAGGCTTGTTTATTATAAGATGAATATCTTGAAAAGGAGTAAGATTATCCCAGAAGCCAAGAGCTTTTCACCAAGCAGTGTACATAACTTGGGGTGAAGAGGACAGGGAAATGATGGGGTGAGTCTCCAGAAAAGATGGAGAAAGACCAGGGAATGTGAATAGAATTCAATCACCTCACAGTCATTATGAGGAAGACCATGCTAGTGGTCAGTAAACCTCTTCAATTTATCCCAATAATGTGTGAAGAAGTGCTAATAGAAAACTGAAGATCTGGCTGGGCTCATGCCTGTAATCCTAGCACTCTCGGAGGCCAAGGCCGGCGGATGGCTCCAGGTCTGGAGTTTGAATCCAGCCTGAGCAAGAGCGAGACCAGTCTCTACTATAAATAGAAATAAATTAATTGGCCAACTAATATATACAGAAAAAATTAGCGGGGCATGGTGGCACATGCCTGTAGTGCCAGCTACTCGGGAGGCTGAGGCAGCAGGATTGCTTGAGCCCAGGTGTTTGAGGTTGCTGTGAGCTAGGCTGACGCCATGGCTGGGCATGGCAACAAAGCAAGACTCTGTCTCAAAAAAAAAAAAGTTGCATGACAAGTTATTTCACATGTGCTAAAGGAACTAATATTTGAAGGAACGTTTCAATAACTCTGAAGGGAGAATCTTATACTTCTCTAGCACCTTACCCTAACAAAAAGAAGATTATTTTTATATCTCTAAATCATTACAGTACTTATTCTAAAAAGTGACCCGGCCATTTCCTAGAGTAGATTTTTCACCACTTAATTTTCTTTTCAAATGACATTAGAAACTCACAACTAAAGCTGGAAACAGTTTTTCCCTAAAAAAACCACACAAAAAAACCCACAATGTGCCTGTAGTCCCAGCTACTTGGGAGGCTGAAGCAGGATTGCTTGAGTACAGGAGTCAAGACCAGACCAGCTTGCGCAGCATTGTGAGATAATCTCAAAAAAAAAAAAAAAAAAGAAAAATCATGATGTTATGAAGTAAAGTTACCTTCTAATATTTAATAATTCCAAGTGTCCTGTGAGGAAAAGATGTTTTTTTCCTAATTAAGACAACCTCCTCAAGGTTATAACTAAGAACCATACTACTTATATAACTAAGTTGCTGGCTCAGATTTTAGTTCCTGATATAATGCATGCTTAATACTATAAAAAAAGTCACAATGGATAGATTTTCATAGTGTTATAATTCTACCTTAAAAAATTAACTTTCCATAAAAGAAAACAGCAATGCCAAATTTTGAATTAGTAACTACATTTTTGGTTGCTTATTTTACTCAGCCTCCAATTCACAAACAACCTAATCTACACTGAAAGGCATGGAGAAAGGGCCTATGACATCTTGATTTGTTCAAAGGGAAAGACATTTCAACATTAAGTATCACCCTTTTAAAATTCAGAAATGCATATACCCTAAACTATGTCCATTATATCAAGAATAAACACTGGCTTGCCAATTAGCTTCTGTATGTTTGGAAGAAAAGAGTAGAATAAAATAGTTAATATATTATAAAATTTTTATATAATAATTAAAAAAATAAAAATAAAAAAATAATAAACACTGGGCTCTTTTTCTGAAGATATGTAATTTTTCTTGAAGGAATGAAATTCTGCATCTAATTTCTAATTCAGTAGCTAATTCAAAAGAGATTACTCATACCTATTTATACATTAAATACACAGACGCAATTGAATAATCCTGTTTCTTAATCTAAATGTATATATTTCCTTAGCAATTGTCTTGTGATGTATGGATGTGAGTCTTTTTTAAACTCCAATTCCAGTGTTCAAAAGCAAGGGGACTATGCCTCACAACATAACTTCTATAAACTACATTCAATTCAAAGTAGGAATGTCTTAAGGGTCCATTATGGGAACTTCATAAAAACAGATCTTTTGATTTCTTCTAGATAGCCAGGTTGTATTCCTGTTTAAGATTATACATAAGATAAATAAATTCTTATTTAGTCTTTTTGATATATTGAATAGGTGACACAGTAAATATCCCATTAAGTTTAAAGATGTAAATAGTACTATTTCCTAATGTACAAGTTTTAGTGCATTTCCATTATACATATGAAATTATTCTATAAAAAATTTAAAGTGAGCTTGTTTTAAAATTTCACTCATCTCAAATATTGTAAACAACCAGTTATGTCTTATTTTGACAGGTGTCTAGATTGTCCCCTCACAACAGGAACTATGTTAATAAGACATCAAGATAAGAATTTAAATGCCTGAGAAACCTTTTCAATCCCTTAGCATTCTGTATAATTGCATTTGCTTTAGTCATGACCCCAAGTCCCTAACATAACTCACTACTTTCAAGTTCATGTGATGCTAATTATTCCTGAAACTGTAATTTAGCCCCATCCAAACATCAAGTATTTTTTCCACTGTTATTTGACTATGGCTGATCTAACTAACATCTGCTAAGGAGTTCCCAGGAGTTATCAGGTTACCAGTTTCAACTGATCCCTGGAAACATCAAATAGCTACTTTGGTGGCTTTCTCTTATTAATATTCAAATCTAGGTAAATTTGAGAAGACCAGAATTAAATTAAAAACACTCAAGGCGGCTTGTAGTTTTACAAATTACTTTTCAAAATAACAGGAAATGTAGTTTTATCTACCCAGATTGATGTTAGTGTTATAGCAAGTTACCGGAGGCCAGGCCATAGGATCAAAGACTTCCATGGGTCATTTTCTGATACTTTAGAAACTAGTCTCTTCTCAAGCGAGGTCTAAAGTGAGTCATACTAATACTAAATTGCACTTTTAGAAAGACTCCATTATGTTTTGAAATTAGAGCAAGGGACACTTTCAACAAATAAGGAACTAATAAAAGGGTAATAGAATGGGCATTATCTTGGTCAAACTCATGTTTAAAAAAACTCATTTTAAAAGTCATTCTAAAGCTAGTATTTACCTGATTCTGTTAGTCCCATGGTAGTTTGTAAAAGATTTATGTGATGCTATCTGTAGTCCATGAAATACCCTTAAATTCTCCCTGCTGACAACTTTCCACCAACATGATGCCAGCACTAATAAACCTGAGTTATCTTCAGCTTTTCAGAGTATAAAAAACAATGTCCTTTAAAAAACTTTTTCAAGATTCTTTTGAAGCAATTTCACAATTGCCAATTTATCTTCCTCCCTATTACCCCAGTGAGGTAAAAAGATGAACAAATCTTATTTGTATGTAAGAGTCAACTCTTGTGTGAGAGGGTCATGACCGAAGACTAATATTCTCAGGCTAACTTGTTCCCTAGTTTTTAAGTTATTACTCAATCTATTATTGCTCAAATTAATCTCTCTCCATGGCACAGAATGGCCCACTTACTAAATTGGAAATATAGCTTTTATAACTATTATCTTACAAACAAAATGAAGTAAATCTATATCTTTAGGAAAAAGATATCAAAATGTCTGAGTGTGAAACCATTAGGTTAACTATACATCTTCCAATCAGTTTTACTGCCTTTCTCCAAAGTTGCCCTTAAAGAGAATAAGTTAGAGCAAAGTAGCAATGGCATTTCACTAAAAAATAAAAACAAGCCCCTTTCTCCCAAGGATGTGAATTTTAAGGCTTAAGCCCAGGATAGTAGCTATCTCCAAAGAGCTGCAATATTTCCATCTGTAACAATCTCAAATTGGATATATAGGAAAATGGACAAGCTGTGTATTGACAAAATACAGGACTAGCTTGTACAGTTTGCCATTAAAAAATTCTATTGTGATTTAAGGCAGGTATTTAAGGCAAGTATTGCATTATGATCCTCAAATCAGGGAAAAAAAAGTTTCCCCACCCCACAAGTAATTATAACTGCTGGAAACATGTACTTATAGAATTTGCCATATGCTCAGAAGCTGAGTTGTTTTACTAGAAAATTACACAAGTCTGACTAACTTTGTACTCAGACACTTTAAAGCTTGCCTACTGGGTTTTATTCCAGGCACCTGTATGTCACAAAAAGCAACTTGTTTCCATACTTCCTTTGACTATTAGAGAAGATAATTCCTGCCCCAACTTTTGTTACTTTAGAGAAAAACTCATTGCATACTTAACCCCAGAATATAGCTCATATTCTCCTGGAATATTCAGGTATGTTTTCACTTGAACACTTAAGCCAAGTCTTAGGAGTTTGGGTACACTAAAAGAGCCCAATCAGGTTTCTGTATTAAATGGGGGGAGGGAGGAGTTTACCCAGAATCTTCTCCCCTTAAGTTGTTGGTAATTCAAGGCAGGAACCTCATCTGGGAATTAGACAAAATTGGGTTAGATAAATTTCACATATTAATATCGTAAAGACCAACATGGGTGAAAAAAATTAAAAAAGGAAAATTGAAAACTCCAAGACAGTAAATTTGAGATCAATTTCAGCTTTACTTTAAATTTGCATTTATGCATTTGTTTGCAAAGAGTATACCTGTCCTTTACATTACTGCATTGTTCACTTTAGTCTTAAAGTGGTACATAAAAATAAACAATTCAAGCTTCTATATATTTTATTGTTTCTAAGCTTTTATAGGACAGGTGTGCCAACTTTAGGTTTCTCATCTCAAATCTCCACACACAAACTAAGCTAACCAAAAATGCTAGTCAGCATACACGCAAAAAGCATTAAAGAGAAACCTAAAATAATGTTTTTTAAAAATCAAACTTTAGAACTAACCTTTTATAATTAAACTAAGTTGTTGCACCTTTTCTTTCATATGCATACACCGGGCTAAAGATTTCCAACAACAGATCTCGGATTGGCACACGGACATCTCGAAGAAAAAAACAAAAACAAAAGGGAAAAAAATGAAAAGGGAGAGAGAGAAAGGAAAAGAGGTTTATGCTGACTCGCGTGCAAGCTTAGTCCACTTCTTCGATGGTCGGTCCGCCAGAGGCTCCAGAACCGCCGCCGCCAGGTCCGCCTTGGTAAAGTTTGCTGATGATGGGGTTGCACACTCTTTCAAGCTCTTTCTGCTTGTGTTCATACTCATCTTTCTCTGCCATCTGGTTTCGGTCGAGCCAGTTGATCACCTCCTGACACTTGTCGAGGATCTTGTTTTTGTCCTGCTCGCTAATCTTGCCCCTCAGTTTCTCGTCTTCCACCGTCTGCTTGATGTTGTAGGTATAGGACTCCACGGCGTTTTTGGCCGCCACCCGGTCGCGATTAGCTTCATCTTCCGACTTGTACCGCTCCGCCTCCTGCACCATCCGGTCAATGTCGTCCTTGCTCAGACGACCTTTGTCGTTGGTGATGGTGATTTTGTTTTCCTTACCGGTGCTCTTGTCGGCGGCGGTGACGTTAAGGATACCATTGGCGTCGATGTCGAAGGTGACCTCGATCTGGGGGACCCCGCGGGGCGCTGGGGGAATCCCGGTCAGATCGAACTTGCCCAGCAGGTTATTGTCCTTGGTCATGGCCCGTTCGCCCTCATACACCTGCACCAGCACGCTGCTCTGGTTGTCTGAGTAGGTGGTGAAGGTCTGCGTCTGCTTAGTGGGGATCGTGGTGTTCCTCTTGATGAGCGGGGTCATGACGCCGCCAGCTGTCTCTATGCCCAGCGACAACGGGGTCACGTCGAGTAGCAGCAGGTCTTGCACATTCTCCGATTTGTCCCCGATGAGGATAGCCGCCTGCACCGCGGCGCCGTACGCCACCGCCTCGTCAGGGTTGATACTCTTGTTCAGCTCCTTACCGTTGAAGAAATCCTGCAGCAACTTCTGGATCTTGGGGATGCGGGTGGAGCCGCCCACCAGCACAATCTCCTGGATCTGGCCCTTGTCCAGCTTGGCGTCGCGCAGAGCCTTCTCCACTGGCTCCAGGGTCCCGCGGAAGAGGTCTGCGTTGAGCTCCTCGAAGCGGGCGCGGGTGATGGACGTGTAGAAATCCACGCCCTCGTACAGCGAGTCGATCTCGATGCTCGCCTGCGTGGACGAGCTCAAGGTGCGCTTGGCGCGCTCGCAGGCCGTGCGCAGCCGCCGAACGGCGCGCTTGTTGGGCCCAATGTCCTTCTTGTGTTTGCGCTTGAACTCCTCCGCCAGGTGGCTCACCATGCGGTTGTCGAAGTCCTCGCCGCCCAGGTGGGTGTCGCCGGCCGTGGACTTCACCTCGAAGATGCCATCCTCGATGGTCAGGATGGACACGTCAAAGGTGCCACCGCCCAGGTCAAAAATGAGCACGTTCTTCTCGCCGCCTGCGCAGCCCTTCTTGTCCAGGCCGTAGGCGATGGCCGCCGCCGTGGGCTCGTTGATGATGCGCAGCACGTTGAGGCCAGTGATGGTGCCCGCGTCCTTGGTGGCCTGGCGCTGCGAGTCGTTGAAATAGGCCGGGACGGTGATGACCGCGCTCTGCACCTTGCCCCCCAGGTAGGCTTCCGCGATCTCCTTCATCTTAGTGAGGACCATGGAGGAGATCTCCTCCGGGAAGAAGGTCTTGATCTCCCCCTTGTACTCCACCTGCACCTTGGGCTTGCCTCCCTCGCTCACCACCCGGAACGGCCAGTGTTTCATGTCTGACTGCACCGTGGCGTCCTCGAACTTCCGCCCGATCAGCCTCTTGGCGTCGAAGATGGTGTTGGTGGGGTTCATGGCCACCTGGTTCTTGGCGGCGTCGCCGATGAGGCGCTCGGTGTCGGTGAAGGCCACGTAGCTGGGGGTGGTGCGGTTGCCCTGGTCGTTGGCGATGATCTCCACCTTGCCATGCTGGAAGACCCCCACACAAGAGTAGGTGGTGCCCAGGTCGATGCCGATAGCCGGGCCGCGGGCAGACATCCTGACTGAAAGACAGGCAAGCGACGTTAAAACGAGAAAAGCAGGGAGAAGAAATTCGCGGCGTCAACTAACGGTCGCCTCGCACCAGACTGCGAACGCGACCAGCTTTCCCCGCTCCACCCCCCTTTTCCGGCCCCGGCTCTTATAGCCGCCTTCTGCCGCCTCTGGAAACTCCCAAAGCCAATCCGCTCCCGGGGCCGCCCACACAAACTCTCCCAGCCCCGCCACAGGTTTGCCTGGGTCGGAGTGACCGCCCGGTGGCCCAACAGATTTCAAGTTGCGTGAGGGGCGGGACCCGGGTCCGCGCCGGGAGACTGAGGGGCGGCCGTTATGCAAACGACGCTCCTCCCTGTCGCTCCGCCGCTGAGCCCTGGCGCCCCGCGCGCCGCCTGTTGCTTAGGGGCGTTACGCTCGCGCCTCTAGTCCAGGTATTCGCACTTTTGCGCGATCTTTGCCTTTCCTTAGGCGGGATTCGTTAATGTCCATCGGATTGGCAGGGAACGCAGCCAATGAGCAGCACGGACTCTCAAGTGGGGCGGGGAAGGCTGGGGCGTGGCGCGGGGAGGAGGCTGGAAATTGGAGCTGGGTGAGGGGAGCCACCTGGGTGTGTCACTCAGTTCCTACAGCTTTAAAATGCAGTCTGGTGCCAGGTGCCCCGACTAACTTAGCGCGCAGGGGTGGGCGAATTCATTCTGAGTTGGTTGCACGGAAGTAACATGGGTGGAACCGGCTTTTCTGGCTGCGTCGTCCAAGGAGGGGGGATCAGGAGTTGGGGTGGCTGGGGCGTGAGGGCGGCTCCTCTGGGTGGGGACCAAAAAAATGAAAGTGAAGTTGCTTGGCCTCGGGGGATTTTTCTTTCGTGCTTCGCGGCTTCTCGGCGGGTGTGAGCGCTCAATAAAAACCGCCTGGCGCGCGGGGAGAACCCGAGTCAGCCGACCGCCAACCCGAGAGGCCGCCCGTGTCCTCTACCGCACTTTTCCTTTTCCCTGCTTGTCCCGCCGCTTTAAACTTCCTGGTTCCGCTTTCCTTATTTTCGGTTTCAAGTTCTTCATCTGCCGCTTTGAGTTCTTTACAGGAAAAAGTATAAAAGTAGTCATGCACGTTGAAAGACCATAAAATAACCCAGTCTCGCTCTTTGCACGATTCTCTTACCCGCAACATACACTGACGCGTTCTTGTTTATGACCTAGTCCTGTTTATGACTGCGCTCAATTCAGCGAGGTTGTTTCATTTAGCTATGCTGAAATTACATTAGAGGCATAAACCCTCAGAGAAGGTAGATGAAAAGGAGCGCAACTCATTTTCTCATGTTTAACAGGAATATGAGACTAGGTCTGGAAAGTACTATCCGGCACCAAGGGCTAGGAGGTAGAAAGAAGTTCTGTGGACTTCTGGAGGAAGACAGTACCTGTAACAAAGACAGCGACAACTTCACCTCACGGGGGGAAGCTGGGGACAGTCAACAAGCTTTAACAGGTACCTGCCACGTGAGAGTAAGAAGACAAAGGAGGTGGTCTGTCCTTAAGAGGTTGAGTGTCTAAGATAGAGGTGAAGATACTTAGAAGTACTGATAAAAGGGTGCAATGGGAACAGAGGAGGGCACACCCAGACCGAAGGAGAAGCATGTTGGTGAGGGCTACCTGGAAGCGATGAGTGAGCCAGGTGCTCAAGTTTGCCAGCAGAGTAGGAATGGCATTCTTTACGTGGGTTGTAGTATAGGCAAAGATGACAGCAATGTGTGTCGGGACTAGGAGTTGCGAACAGAAGGTTAATGTCGCTAGAAGGGAAGGAGTACAGGTAAGAAATAGCCTCTTCCATTGGACAGGATACATTTAAGAGCTTTTTGTGCCATAGTCTTTCTTTCCCGAGGCTCTGAGAGAGGAGAACCATCCTTTGAAGCAGGCTAGTGTAGCCCATATAAAAGTTACATGAGACAGTGCTGGAGAAAAGTCTGAGAAATACAAAAGTTATCTGTGACCAAAAAGTAATGTTGACAGAAGTCATAGGTCAATCAATGAATATTTAAGTTTCTTTTATCTAATGATACATGTTATTTCCATGTCATTTCCATTGTGTCATTTAAGAACACAATTGCTATTAATTTCTTAATCTTATCAGTTAAATAGTACTGGTTTTAACCACAATTCCCATCCTCTTTTCCATGAAATTGAAGAAAAAATTTTGAAATAGGAAACCTTTTAAAGAAAATATTAGGAAAACAAGGATAAAACCAAAATTTTTCTAATTGAAGCTGTCATAAATTGTGAGTACAAATCTCTTTATTTTGTTATTGGAAATTCTTTTTTATGTAGTTTTTTTTTAAGATAAAAGGGAATTAGTGGTGTGGAAGCAATACAGATTCTTTGCAGAACTGATGATATGATATGATTTAGAGATAGGGCACCAGCTACGACTGAGAAAGAACTGTGAGAAACACAAACCCTTCAGATCTCTTGTTTTCAGTCAACCCTCACACACTTACCTCAAGTAAAGCAAGACTGCAGAAAAGAAAGCAGGCAAGAGTTCTCACACAGAAACACTAAAATTAGAGGTTCAGAAGGGATAGTTTCTTTTGCATAGTAACTATGTGCTACTTCTGTGCACAGTTATTGCAAACAAATCTTGCAGTCTGACTACCACATTCATCTTTAACACAGCTTTCTGAAACCACAGTAGCAATTATACCCCCATTTTCTTTAGCCATATGTATTTATTTCTGCTCCATCTTTTCACCTAGTAAATTGATGTTTCATATGTTCCGTACTTTAAATGGCAACCTGAGCTTTTCCCAAAAACATGGTATTTGCATTTTGATTTTATATGAAAGAAACTTTTGCAGTTAAGTTAGAGAACGTTGTCACATACTGACCATTCTTGGAATTTTCATGTTTTCCCTATTTGTATTGATTTTTTAAAAATCTTATTTTTTTCTCTTTGATGGTTGTGGCTCCGAATCCATTGAAAACATAGTCCCTTGAAAATGATCAAATTAGCAAATTTATCATCAAATAATATTCATCAATGCCATCAACAGTGCAACAAAACAGGTAAGCTCTACCAGTGGAGTAAAGTAGTACAATCTTTCTGGAGGGCAATGTGACAATAATTTTTCTTTATCTTACATATGATCATACCGTTCATTTAGTATTACTCATTATGGGATTGAATAATTTGGGAATTATTCGATTGAACAATTGAAATAATTCTATTATTTTTAAAGAAATAATAGAAAATTTAGGTAGTATGATTTATGTTAATAAAAAGGAAATGGCTTAAATATTCAACAGTAACAACAGTTACATAAATTATAGTACATGCAAATGATGATTATGCAGCCATAAAAATTGTTTATAAGATTTTTAATGACATAGGAAAATGTACTTGATATAATTAAATGAAAAAAGAAGATATATGCCTTTCTTTTTTTTTGGAGACAGAATGATCTTGCTTTGTTGCTCAGACTGGAGTGCAGTGGCATGATCAAAGCTCTCTGTAACCTCAAACTCCTAGGCACAAGGGTTCTTCCCACTTCAGCTTTCTCAGTAGCTGGGACTGGGGCTGGGCCTAGGCCACCACACCCAGCTAATTGTTCTATTTTTTTTTTTAATGGTAGAGATGGGGTCTCACCATGTTGCCCAGGCTGGTCTTGAACTGGCCTCAAGCAGTCAGTCCTCTTGCATCAGCCTCCCAAAGTGCTGGAATTACAGGTGTGAACCACTGCACTCAGCCTATATCTTCTTATATATATGATAATTTTTTTTCCTTTATTTCCGGCGTATTTGGCTATATGATAATTTTATATACATGAAAATGTATCAGAATTGATATCTCTCAATAGTAGGATTATTAGTAATTGTTCTAAGTTTCCTTATTGTACTTTTACAATCGATTTTTAAAACGGCTATTAACATTCAGTTGAAACAAAGTTTACTAAGTTCTATTATTTACATATAAATTGTTACTGATTTTCAACAAGCAGAATTTCTGTTTGGCATATTATAAATATTAGAGTGTTTCAAAATATTTTTGAAATTCAAAGACTTAACACATGGCAAATTCTAATTAATTCCCAGCACTCAAAAGAGTACCTGGAAAACAGTAGTAAATCACTAACTCCATGCTTACTAAAAGTTAACAGACATATATCATTTAACCAAAAAACTGAAAATAATGTCACTTTTTTCCTGTATAAGACATGCCTATAATTCCAGCACTTTGGGAGGCGGAGGTGGGAGGATCCCTTGAGCTCAGGAGTTCGAGATCAGCCTGAGCAAAAGCAGACCCTGTCTCTACTAAAAATAGAAAAATTAGCTGGGCATGGTGGCACATGCTGGTAGTCCCAGCTACTACAGAGGCTGAGGCAGGAAGATCACTTGAGCCCAGGAATTTGAGGTTGCAGCAAGTTATGACAATGCCACTGCACTCTAGCCCAGGTTACAGAGCAAGACCTCTTATATTTCTGTGCTAAATGACACTGCAGAGACCAAAAGTTAAAACAAATTCACATCTGAAAATATTTGTACTAAGGAAATAAAGGTGAATAAGATGAGGTCTAAAATTATGTGCATGGCTATTAGACCTGCCCTAAGGAGACTAACTGAGCAAGAATAAATTTTTGCAGAATTACTAGGAAAAAAACAAACTTGTGGATTTTCCTTGAACTTTCTCAGTCCCCACTCAGGCAAAACCTGCATAAAAGTTGTGAATTGTTTTGAAGAGGTAATGTTGGCCTATACCTAGAGAAAAAGAGGAATGAGTAACAGCCTATAATTTGAGGACCTTTGAGCAAACTGGAGTTCAACTGATGATTATAGTTAAGATCTCTATAAATACTGCCATTTTATAATTCTTTGAAAGTGCCTTATCCTAAAATATTTCTCAGTCACCAATCACTACAGGAAAAATTCACCATTTGTTTCTTTGAGTCTTAAAAAACTCAGTCTTGAAGTTACAGTTAAACTGTAGATACACAGTAAGCTGGAATAAGATACCTCCACTCCTGATATGAAAGGCCAAGAGTCCTGAACCTGGAGGAAGGCTTTTCCATAAGAGAAAATCTGTGACAATAGCAGACAGATTGTGCCTACTTAAGTTTTTAGTGCTAACCATAAGAGTAAGACCTTGTACAATAGTCTGAAGTAATCCAGAGGAAGTGAGGCTGTCCTGTACTTAGAGAATCAGACTCAATATGCCATTATTATTAATTCTTCTTAAATTCTTAAAATGAAAATTTAAAAAAATGAATTATACTGGCAAAGCAGTTATTTCTCTGAATAGTAGTAAATTATGTTTGCTATTTTGAAAAATGAATTAACCTTATGAAAGAGCTAAATACTATATCAGTGGGTTTTATAAATAATTATTTCTTTGTATTCATATATTAGGAAGGAAACTCAAATAATTTGTTGCCATATGTGTTTGCCATGAGATATAGTACTTTTCCAATAATTCTTCTATATTGAAAGAAATTAGAATTTGGCAACAAGAATTTTAGCTTGTTGAATTTTCTTTGTGTACTTCTTAAGCTACTCGGGAATGCCATAATTACCTATATCAGATGCTTTATTATTTTGATATTAGAGGATGGGAGGAGTTGATAAGTTTCAGACCAATAATTTTTTAAAAGGGCCAGGTTGAAAAAATATAAATAAAAGTAATATACAGACAATTTAACTTCTGAACATAGAGGAAGAAATTTTATTAGATAAAAGCAATGGATTAAAAAATATAACAGAAGTACTTTATGTAACCCAATAATTCCATTTTATACTACTATACAGAAAATAATCACATTATAGAATGCATTTATACCATTTATAATTATTATAATTCATTACATTTGTAGTTAGTACAGTCAAAATTTAAGCCATTTTTCTTTAGTAAATCTAATTCCACTAGTCAATAAAAAATTTTTTAATGAGTTGTTACTGTATTGATCTGGCACCTTTAATTATTGGTAATATTCTTTTGTCTTTCCTATTTCCTATTTATTTTTAGAAGTCAGCAGTTCTATATGCTTCCTCATGTTCCCAAAAGAGATTAACTCTAGTATTTTTTAGACTCTAATACCTTTCTTGGCTTATTTGTTTTATTTATCTTAAAGCAGTTGAATTCACGTGTATTTGAACTCTTTTAGTGGATTTCTCTTCTCCCTTCTTTCCCTCTACCCACTATCACATTGTAATTAACTGTTTCTCTGATTTTCAGTTAGTCTAATTTTTAGAATGAACATTCAAGTTATCCTACTTTATAGCTAGGGTTTTTAAATGACATAACTTCTGCATATCCTATTAAGTATATTCTACATTAGATCTCTTTGTGCAACTCCTTATTAAAACATTTGAAGAAATAGGCATAAAAATAAAGTCAGCATTTCTGAAAATATATAACATCTTAATATTTCACGAGAAACAAGATATAATAATAAGGAATTGGGTACATAGTTAACCAGAAGTAAAACTACAAATATATTCACAATCAGTAAATAATTTGACTATAAGATTCATATGGTTAAGAGATGTATATATGTGTGTGTGTGTGTGTGTGTATAAAACAAAGCATTTGTAGTCAAGTTAAAATCTCACCAAATATTAAATTTCTCTATGAAAGGTTTTGTTTGTTTGTTTTTTGTTTCTTTAGAGACAAGACGTTGCTCTGTTGCTTAGGCTTGAGTGCCATGGCACAATCTCAGTTTATAACAGCCTCAAACTCCTGTGCTCAAGCAAACCTCCTGCCCCAGCCTTGCAAGTAGCTAGGACTATGGGCACATGCCACCACACCCAGCTAATTTTTAAAATTTTTTTGTAGAGACGAGTTCTTGCTATGTTGCCCAAACTAGTCTCAAATTCCTGGCCTCAAGCGATCCTCTCACCTCGGCTTTCCAAAATGCTAGGATTAGAGGCATGAGCCACATTTCATTCGATACTTAAATTTTATATGAAATTTGAAAGCTGAGAAGCATGGCATTATACATTAATATTGAGAATAAATGTTTAACAGTTATTAATTCTGCCTTATTAGGTTATATTGCGAATTTCAGAAGAAAATAATGTGTGATTTGTGTAAATCTTACCGCTATTGAAGTAATACCAGTTCTGTTCTTCAAGATAACAGAATTGAAAGGAAGCTTCATCAATATTAATAAAGTATATGATTGGTATATACAGTGGAAAAGGAAGAATGACAAATGTTGTATTACAGTCAGTATCAACCATACTACCTTGTTAAAATATTGGTCTTAAAATTTTTTTCTCTGTAACCACTTCTTTTTATTTATACCCTAAACTACAAATTTTGGGGCATAAGTTTTTAAATTGCCTAACTACATTTCATAATATGTAAGCTATAATTCTAGTTTTTTTAAGTTTAGAATTATATGTTTTTATACACATTTGTGATTATCTCTTTATAATATATGTACAGTAGCCTAGCAAGCCCTTTTATTTTAGAAGGGAGACTTGAAGATAATTAGCATATAAAGTTTCATTTTAGTGTAGCTTTAACCACTGATGTTGTATGAATTTTCTAGTTACGTTTCTGTAGCATATTTTCCACAAATATTAGGATAGTCAGCATGAATCAATTTTGTTACAACAAAGTGGTTCCAAAGTGATCTTTAGTGAGTTTTCTTGGATCTTTGCAACTGGAACTTTTGGGGTTGATGAAGTTTGTCAGGAAGACAGAAAAGATGGTGCCACTTCAGATCTGATATTCCTGGGTCTGCACTTAAAGATTATCTGTTGAAGATTGATTCTTCCCCATGTCCTCTCCAAATTCAGATCTCTCACTCCTCCAGAGGTTTAGAAGGCCCTATTTCACCACTGCCACACAGAAAAAGACAAAACTCAAGAAAAATAATATTACAAGTTGACTGCTCTACAAGAAACAACATAATTTTTAGGTCAGAATTTCTTGGCTTTTGACACTAAGCCAGCATACTATTAACAGAACAGAGAATAGGAACAAAAGCATGGCTCCTAGAATTTAAATTTATTTAATTACTTCCAAATATAAGGTGTTCTTATTACTAATATAATTATTTAGCTAT